TAAGTGTATGTCTTCAGTGTGGCTGTCTTAAGTGTGGCTGTATTCATGTGGCTGTCTTAGGACTGTTTCAGTGTGTGGCTGTCTCTTGGCTGTGGTCTGTTAAGTGTGTGTGGCTGTCTTAAGAGTGCTGTCTGTCTGTCTAAGTGTGGCTGTCTTAAGTGTGGCTGTTGATGTGGCTGTCTCAGTGTGGTTGTCTCTCAGGTGGCTGTTCAACTGTCTTAAGTGTGGCTGTCTTCAGCTTAAGTGTCTTCAGTGTCTTCAGTGTGGCTGTCTAAGTGTGGCTGTCTTATTCAGTGTGGCTGTCTAAGTGTGGCTGTCTTTAGTGTGTGTGTGCTGTCTTCAGTGTCTGTCTTGTGTGGTGTGGTCTTCAGTGTGGCTGTCAGTGTGGTGTGTCTTACTGTCTTCAGTGGTGCTGGCTTCAGTGTGGCTGTCTGTCTTCAGTGTGGCTGTCTTAAGAGTGCTGTCTTACTCCTTCAGTGTGGCTGTCTTAAGAACTGTCTTGGTGACTGTCTTAGTGTGGCTGTCTTGTGTGGTGTGGCTGTCTAAATGGTGTCTTCTTAGTGTGGCTGTCTTGGCGTGGCTGTTTAGCTGTCTTCAGTGTGGCTGTCTAATCTGTCTTAAGTGTGGGCTGTGGCTGTCTTAACTGTGGCTGATGTGGCTGTCTTCAGTGTGTGTGGCTGTCTTAAGTGTGGCTGTCTGTCTCAGTGTGGCTGTCTTAAGTGTGGCTGTCTTCTGTGGCTGCTCAGTGCTGTTCAGTGTCAGTGTGGCTGTCTTCAGTCTTGTGGCTGTCTTCAGTGTGGCTGTCTTCATGTGGCTGTTCAGCTGTCTGTCTTCAGTGTGGCTTGTCTTCAGTGTGGCTGTCTTAAGTGTGGCTGTCTTCAGTGTGGCTGTCTTTTAAGTGCTGGCTGACTGTGTCTTAAGAGTGACTGTCTTCAGTGTGGCTGTCTTAAGTGTGGCTGTCTTAAGTGTGTCTTTCGGCAATGTATTAATGCAAATTTTCATACGAATAATTCCATAGCACCGAGTTGTGTTTATTTTCATTCGTTGTGGTCATCAGCCGTTCAGGGAGTAACAAGTTTGGTTAGTCAGGAACTTTACGCTGCTCTTCGCTGTAAATGTTTGTTCTACAGTAAGGTCTAGATCGTTTTTTCCCTATTACAACAATATCTGCAATAACAACTACTGTCATGTTCATTATTTTCTGCACGTTGCATAATGCGTCATATTGTGAAGTAGATTGTGATTATTTAGCTTAAGTAGGCCTATTTGGTTATTTGTGATAAATGAGAAAAATAATATTTGACATCGGTAACTGCAAGTTGTCTGAGTGAGGAATGAAGTTTAGTTTTTTAAAAGTTCATTTCTAGTTATGTAAATGGGTTAAGTGAAATCAAGAGTGATTAAGTTGAGTGTGAGAATTAAAATATCGTGAATGATACTTCTGTTTTGTTGTACTAGTATTATATGCTTTTATAATCTCGGTAAGAAGCGCCTTGGTCTTGTCAACAAAGCCTCCTCAGGGAGTCTACGGTGCTAAACCCTTTACGACAACATAACACACCAACAAACAAACGAACTCTAAGATTTTAGGTCATTTCTTTGGTTAGTCGGGTTTGAATTTGTCGGTTCGTATCCACCTCTGGTCCTCTGCCATATAAATTATTTACCATAGTAGTCGTCCTGTGCGGTCTTTGATGACAAGATTATCACCCCCTTTCTCCCTTCTTCCTCGTCATGTATTAAACACTTATATCAATAAAGATCCCATTAAAAATTAAAAAAAAAAATTGAATACTGCTGAAGTACTTATCTAACACAAAGAAAACGTTACATCTCGCCTGGTGTGGTGAGGGAGACTCCTCAGTCACTCTTGTAACATTATTAAACTAGCTTAAAGATTTATTTGAAATATTAAAATAATTACACTGTACACTGTTGTTCTGCCGAAACTAATGCAAAAATTTTCTAAACTATCGTAGGTGCACATATACTGTACACACACACATGCACACGGCTGCTTGCCCATGGGTGTAAAAACAAGTATTTTCACATGAAGACAATTAATGAAACACTGAATCATGAATACCCTCGCCATGTTAATTCTGGAGTAAGTTCTCTCACTGTGGAAAAAACTGCATTAGGATGACTGTGGAGTAGCGGTGGCCACAAATGCACGTGGCCGTGTCAAGATTAAGGCTTAACCGCTACCCAGCCTGCAGGTCACGGTGGGGAACACAACCAAGAGGTTTGTGGGAATAGGGAACACCGTAGGATAATTGATGACCGGAAACTCCAGCGAAGGTGTTCCTGCCTCCTCAGACCTCCCTCATTTTTTTTAGTAATTATTAACTTTTTATTGTACAACTTTCACAAGTCGATTTGACGACAATTATATTATAATATGAGTACAGACTGCAGTAGACCCCACTGTCTGGTTGCTAAGGTCATGCAGAGGATACGTGTGTACAATGACAGAGTTCCTCAATATTGCGGTACCTGGCATCTGCATGGGAACATTGGTGCCAGCTTCCAGGATTTTCTAAATGATAATAAAAAAACAACGTTTTACTCTGAGAGTTACCCCACTATCATTCTCAACATAAGAGTTATAATATTTAGAGAATAATGGATTGTAATATATATATGAATATAGAAAGTAAGTGACTAAATTTTAACAAAGTCTAAAAACGCTTCTTGGAAACTGCATCACATGGTCTCCCCCCACCCCCCTTACAAACTCGTGCAGAAGTGGTCTATCTTGAGTGTGTTCGTGCTGGGCCCTCAGATGAGGTAGTCATTTAAACAAATCCTTTTAAATATATAATTACAGTAAATTTATTTGCACTTAAAGACAAACATCTCTCTTGCACAAATGTAATTAAAATAACTAATTTAAAACAATATAAAGCTCATCAACCATAACTATTAACTGTTCCGTCGAAAAAAACTAAAAAAAAAAAGTGACCTGACGAGGCTTCCTCTATCTTTTGTTCAACTGATTAAATATAATGCCCAATTACACCAGAAATTCAGTGTTTACGATAAACTTCTGACTAATACCAGGAAAACGTCAACTCTCACCCAGGAAGAAATGCTACCCTGGCAGTGGATGGTCTATCAGTTGTTATACTTTGTATACTGTATATTAACAATTTGGTATAAGGACAACTCTTCCCCAAATACCTTACCAGGAATTTCCACAGCCGTGTGAATGTTGGATAATGACTTTTTTATATTAAATTCTTAGACATACAACACCTCATATTGTTATATACATTCCAATTTTTTTTTAATTTTAACGCCATTAAACGGTCCGTAGATATTAAAAGATAGTGAATATTCATATAAACTTCATTGGGTGAAGTCACTACCATTAGTACCGCCCATGAAATCCATTTAGGAAAGACCGATAACTGCATGTCATTACGGCTACCTCATCAGAATGACGTCATCGCCTCTGATGAGCTCTTTAGCTGTTCTGAAAACTAGATAAAGCATCAGAGGTTCGCCCTACGATAAGCTGTTACGAGCTGGCGGAGGACCTAAGGTGTTTCTCGCCGCTGCAGAGAAACTATCCTAATTTATTTTATGTTTTTCAAAACTCCCGGTAAAAAGCGGGTGTATTAGGACTGGGGCCCACTTGACCTACAGCCGAAACGGACGGCGCTACAAACGCGCGACAATAACTAATAGAAACGCATCAATACAATTTCTTAGTGAGAACAGATGACACAAATCACCAAGAAATTGAAATTAAAACAGTTTATTTAACCAGAACAATAGAGAACAACAACAATATTGACATGACCGAACCTTTCAAGTGTTGCAGCTGTCTTGGCGGCTCGAGTGTCACCTCCACCCCATGTTATAAAATATTTCAGGCGAGTATTGAAAGGAAGAACACACAGACGCTGGTCCAGGAGGGTGACAGAAACAGTCGTATACAACACAGCCTTTAAATCGCGTTTCCTTTGTTATCGATGGAAACGAGTGTAATAATTTGTTTCAATATTGACGTATGCTCTCATTAATTATCAGTAGCGTTATTATAAATTCTTGTTCTTGTTCATCATCATCATTATTATTATTATTATATGCTGTACCTTCAGTCACTCATTGTAAATTTCCAACGTAAATGATGACCGAGAAACAGATTTAACAAGGCCTGGTTATAGGTACATTTACCGGTGCACCTGAAGATTAACCACCCTAAAGCTAAGCTAACCTAACTTAATCTAACTTAACATAACATAACATAACCTCATCTGATGTAACGTACGTAGCCTTACCTTCTTCTACTACTACTACTAAATTATTAATAGTAATAATTATAATAATAACACTACTACTAAAAATAATAAAAATAATAATTACAATAACTCCACTGTATAATCACACACACATCCGGGATACAATAGGAATCAGCGGTGTGTGAAAATAATATATGATAAAATAACTATTGAGACAGACAACATTTATGAAGCCCCGATAACACCCGTCTCTTGGGCGATTTACGTGTCATGACCCCTGCCCCTACTGGTAACACACACACACACACACACACACACAGGACATACCCACATTACAGTACATTTGAAGAGTTTGGGGTTGCGTAAACAGGTCACATTACAACTTAAGTAATATATAAATCTCATTCACGAGATAAACATTTTCGGTGTCGACTGTCCCTATGTCAGTCATTTAATATTTTCAAGCATATTAAAAAAAATAGATGTACTGTTTACACATATTCTTAGCGTTGTTTTATATTTTCCAGCTTCAAGATATAACAACTTTAAGTACATAATACAAAGTCAGTTTCTCCACTTTGTTATATAGTCAATACGATGATAACAAAGAGAGAGATAACTAGTTAGACGTGAGCCTTAAACACAATAGGAACCGATGTTTTATGTTATTAGTAAGAAAGAAAATAATGTTATCATGCGCGAAGGTTCTGGTTTAGCCCGAGATATCTTCAATAACATAAGAACTAAGTATTAAGAGCAAAGATACTCACCACCTTCGTCAGTCATGACAGCTACTGTGGAAGTGGGTCCGTCACCTTCAGGATTAAACACCTGAAGGGACACCAAGTACTGGGTGTAGGTGCGTAGGCCCTGTACAACGTGACTCTGAAACACCCAGAGATGGGTTAGTGAGGGCAGTGGTGGGGCCTGGGGCGGGGATCACTTCTCGTCTTAAAGTTTCATCTGTAAGACTTTATCAGCAGCTGCAGTTACTCCAATCCCAGTAACTATGTGTCATCATCGTTAAGTAGCAGGGTGATGTGGGTTATTCCGTTAATGTTACCATCACTATTAATGGCCAGTGAAATAAAATAAGTACTTGGTGGTTAAATAAATAAGAAATACTGAAATTCGAGCTTTGTTTTCAACTGCACAAACAAATTTGGAGAGGGTAAAGGAGATACTCTTCCTCATAAGTTTGATATACAGGAATCACCGCTACTAATAAATCACACTTGGTAAAACGGTAGATCTTGTAGGTGCCTCGTGACCCACCGCCAGGCTGATTATTTACAGTGAAGCAAACAAAGTACAACACACAACAAACTAGTCTAAACTCTACCCTACACATGCACGTAATACAGTTTATTGCTGTTACTTTACTGGTGCAACACTAACTGTGGTATTGCATGCTGGAAACATCAACTCATGCACTGTCACGACCGTCGGAGGTAGGAGGAGGGAGAGCGTTAGCCGTCCTCCATAACTCAGCCAGCCACTATAGAAAATGGACCAGTCCCAACACAGCGTCAGAGAAAACTGAGAATTCCGTGTTCTTGATGGGTGACTGAAACTATCCGGAAGATCCGACTCGTACCATCTGCAACTTTTCCTTACGCTTACTTCCGTTTCCAACAAATTTATTAAATGAACATGAGCTAACGTCTGTGATTTTGGAATTGTTTGAAACAGCATCGCGGCCATTTTGCACCATAGTTATTACAGTATCATGTACGTCTTTTAAAATGCGCTAACTTATCAAACGCAACCGACATTAACTAACCTTTATAGGTTAGATGGACTATACTTGGTAGGTTTGATTGGTTCATTATGACTGTTTTAAAAGACAGTCTACGATCTTTACCAAAAATAAAAAAAGAAAGATATCCACACGTCTTTAATGATGCTTCTTGATAAAACGTCTTGATATTTTGTTCTGGCCAGTTATCGTATCTGTAACTTGGTAAGGCTCGACCGCCAAACACAACAGTCTCTCTTGTGTACAGTATACTCTTCACAACAAACGGGATTAGATCAACCACAAAAGAGACTAATGCCTTATCCCAATATTATACAATAGCCGATTTTTTATCTTGAAATATCTACGTGAGTCTTACCTAACTAAGTTTTGGTGATTAACAAAGAAAATTGAAGTTAGGATCACATTTTACAATACAGTCGTTCACTAATACAACGAATTACACGAGATGAAAGCTTAGGTGTCCGTCAGTGATGGTCGAGGAAGGAAAAGTTATGGTGACGAGAAATGGTACATGATGTCATATTGACTTCTTTAGCGTATTTTCGGCTTACTCTCAGAACACAATCTTTCCTTCATCAGACCATCAGTCCTATCCAGTAACGGCAGAGGTTCATACACGGGGTAATACTAATAGTGGAGATATCAATGTTTGTTTTTTTACGTAGATAAAAATAATACTTATAAAGAACCAGAGAAATGGTATATAGACTGTGGGTTGTGTTCGGTTCCGGCGATGCTGGTCGAGGCTTGGCACAACACTCCTCATTGACGCTAGTTTTACATTAAGTGATCCTGGAGTGAGTAAGAGCAGCACGTCAGCCTAAAGACTATACCAGTTACCACGTCCAGTGCAGTATTATTATGTGATCACTTCCACATCGCATCGATTGCATTACTTATTGCTTGCATTTTATTCTTCTTGATACATATAACTTGTTCAACTTTTTTGTTTGGGTAATTTACGAAAATGTCATAATTATAAAGGTTGACAAAATTAATCATACAAGCAAAACAAATAAGGCATCATCATACGCACAAAAGGCGGATGATCAATAAACTATTTGGGAAGAAACAAAAAAATAAAAGACGCGTGAGGCTGTCTAAAATTCCAGTCCCGAAAATTGGAAATCCCTCCGCCGACTGTTCAATTATTCTACAAAATCTGAATGTGAGGGAAGGTAATTCCTGCCGCCAGTATGACGGCAGAGCGGCAGGAGGCGCGGCTGGCGAGGCTGTAAGGCAATTTTGGGTTAGTTGTAGCTCACACCTGGTGTTAGTGGGGAAGAGTTAGTACTACATACACGCTACTCCTTCTCACAATCTATCTCATCTCAATTTTCTCCAAACAAAAGATAAGAGTGCGAGACAGAGACAGACTTTCACTAAATTTCATTCATAGTGAGGACCAGTAATCTCCCCCAAAACAAAAGAATCACCACTTTCTCTCAGAACATCTTTCACATTTGCGACATATAAATTTTACCCTTTTATTGAACTTTCTCCCAAAACAAAAGAGAAACTACTGTAAGAATATACGTCACATCAATGGGATATATTTGGATCTATTTCAACTTTACAGAAGATAAACAAAAGCAAAAGGAAGGAAAATAAACACACACCTCCACACCTGTCATCCAAACACACCTCCACACCTGTCATCCACACACACCTCCACACCTGTCATCCAAACACACCTCCACACCTGTCATCCACACACACCTCTACACCTGTCAACCATTACCTCCACCAGTTAATGATTCATCTTCAAATATATTTTTCTTTAAAATTTACAGGAAAACGTTCTATATGAAAATGAAAGTCCGTTATACTGAGTGAAACCTCCATATAACGGCGTGTATTGAGAGAGAATTCCGTTATATAGAGATTTCACTGTATTCTTGGCATATAATTTCTTTTACACACATTTTTTCCAATGTGATTCATTACTCTTCGAACATTTGGCCCCGTCACCTGATCCTCTATTGGCCCCATCTCCATCTTACAACACTTGGCCCCGTCACCTGATCCTTTCTTGGCCCCATCTCCATCTTACAACACTTGGCCCCGTCACCTGATCCTCTATTGGCCCCATCTCCATCTTACAACCCCTTGGCCCCGTCACCTGATCCTTTCTTGGCCCCATCTCCATCTTACAACACTTGGCCTCGTCTCCACTTTAGAAAACTTGGCCCCGTCACCTGATCCTTTCTTGGCCCCATCTCCATCTTACAATACTTAGCCCCGTCTCCACTTTAGAAAACTTGGCCCCTTCATCTGATCCTTTCTTCCCCATCTCCACCTAGAACCTTATTTGTTGCACCTTAGGACATGGTCCCATCTCCACCCTAGAACATTTGGTCCCATCTCCACCTTAGAACACTTGGCCCCATTTGCACCTTAGAACACTTGGTCTCATCTCCACCTTAGAACACTTGGCCCCATTTCCACCCCTAGAACACTTGGCCCATCTCCACCTTAGAACACTTGGCCCATCTCCACCTTAGAACACTTGGCCCCATCTCCACCCTAGAACACTTGGCCCCATCTCACCTTAGAACATTGGCCCCATTTGCACCTTAGGACACTTGGTCCCATCTCCACCTTGGAACACTTGGTCCCATCTCCACCTAGAACATGGCCCCATTTGCGCCTTAGAACACTTGGTCCCATCTCCACCCTAGAACACTTGGTCCCATCTCCACCTTAGAACACTTGGTCCCATCTCCGTTAGAACACTTGGTATCTCCACCCTAGAACACTTGGCCCCCATTGCACCTTAGAACACTTGGTCCCATCTCCACCCTAGAACACTTGGTCCCATCTCCACCTTAAAACACTTGGCCCCATTTGCCTTAGAACACTTGGTCCCATCTCCACGTTAGAACACTTGGTCCCATCTCCACCCTAGAACACTTGGCCCCATTTGCACCTTAGAACACTTGGTCCCATCTCCACCATAGAACATTTGGCCCCATTTGCACCTTAGAACACTTGGTCCCATCTCCACGTTAGAACACGGTCCCATCTCACCTTAGAACACTTGGTCCCATTTGCCTAGAATACTTGGTCCCATCTCCACTTTAGAACACTTGGCCCCATTTGCACCCTAGAACACGGTCCCATCTCCACCTTGAACACTTGGCCCCATTTGCACCTAGAACACTTGGTCCCATCTCCTTAGAACACTTGGCCCCATTTGCACCTTAGAACACTTGGTCCCATCTCCACGTTAGAACACTTGGTCCCATCTCCACCCCAGAACACTTGGCCCTATTTGCACCCTAGAACACTTGGTCCCATCTCCACCTTAGAACACTTGGCCCCATTGCACCTTAAAACACTTGGTCCCACCTCCACCCTAGAACACTTGGTCCCATCTCCACCTTAGAACATGGTCCCATCTCCGTTAGAACACTTGGTCCCATCTCCACGATAGAACACTTGGCCCCATTTGCACCTTAGAACACTTGGTCCATCTCACCTTAGAACACTTGGTCCCATCTCCACCTTAGAACACTTGGTCCCATCTCCACCTTAGAACACTTGGCCCCATTTGCACCTTAGAACACTTGGTCCCATCTCCACCTAGAACACTTGGCCCCATTTGCACCTTAGAACACTTGATCCCATCTCACGTTAGAACACTTGGCCCCATCTCACCCTAGAACACTTGGCCTCATTTGCCTTTGAACACTTGGCCCCATCTCCACCTTAGAACACTTGGCCCCATCTCCACCTTAGAACACTTGGTCCCATCTCCACCTTAGAACCTTGGTCCCATCTCCACCTTAGAACACTTGGTCCCATCTCCACCTTAGAACACTTGGTCCCATCTCCACCATAGAACACTTGGCCCATCCTTAGAACACTTGGTCCCGTCTCCACCCTAGAACACTTCCCCATCTCCACCTTAGAACACTTGGTCCCATCTCCACCTTGAACACTTGGTCCCATCTACACCCTAGAACACTGGTCCCATCTCTACCCTAGAACACTTGGCCCCATCTCCACCTTAGAACACTTGGTCCCATCTCCACCTTAGAACACTTGGTCCCATCTCACCTTTGAACATGGCCCCATCTCACCCTAGAACAGTTGGCCCCATTTGCTTAGAACATGGTCC